CTAATATATATATTGTTTAGTATTAAGCTTTGCTTGTTCCATATTCAGTTTTTCAGCAAAACGTGTTTGAGTCCATAAGAAAAGATTCATTCTTAAATCTGGAGGAATAAATATATTTCAATAAATATTAATGTTAGCCCGCAACTTTGTTCCAGTTTTGAATTTTGGCCCACTGTGTATTTAAGTTTGACACCCCTGCATTACAGGAACCTCAAAGTCTCTGAGAGTTGACCGTTAACCTCCGGGTGACAAGCCTCCATTAATCACGCCTGTTTCCATCCCTCCGTTGCTCACTCGTTCATCACTTTGAGACTTCAAGGCCTCTTACTAATCATAAATCCTCCCTCATGCGCGTTGTGAGGATTGGACACTAAATTAAGGTGGAAGACAGTAAACAGCTCAGATATTTTAAATGTTGATCCACAAAGATGATAAAACTTGGTTTCCAGTTTTTATAGCTGTCAGATGTAAACATACTGCACACTGATAAACTTTCACTCTGCGCGCATGCAGCTCTGCATGTTCCTGCATCGCTGTCATCAGGACAGATCTGCGCGCTGACAGTAACATTTTAATGATACTGACCTTCTCGTACGGAGACACAGTGGAGGGAATCTGCGCCTGCTCGTTTTCCGTCAGCCAGTTTCGCCGAGCCAGCTCTTCCCACTCTGCCTGCATCTTATCCCAGAACTCGGTGTCTGACTGCACACATCAGAGAGAGAGGACACAGATCAGGAACAAAGGAAGGAAGGAGACAGGGGGAAAGGAGTGAATAGTTAGCTCTTATCAGCCTACTGTTGGAAATGTCACGTCTGCCTGTTTACTCGCTGTAACGTATGGACCAACACTCCTGATGACTCATCACATCTGCATGTCACGGCAGAGTTTAGAGGAAAAATGCTCGAAATGCTCGAAATGCAGCTGCAGGAAATGCATGAAGACCAGAATAAAACACGCGGCACCTTCTTTCAACAGAAGCGGTTAATTCTTTAAAACAGCAGCTAAACCTGAAGTTTACATAGTTTACATATTTCAAGCTCGGTCTGTTCTTTCTAAGACGATCAGAAACGCAAAACGTTCACATCTCCTTGACAGAGCTGGACTTAAGGACTCTATCAGGATGATATTTGAACCTTTCCATCAGCAGGCCGAAGGCTGTCAGAGTAATGTGGGAGTTTGCTTCCTGGAGCATTTCTAACATTTCTTCTGACAGGAAATCAAAGCCTGCACAGGGAACCTTTTAAATGTTTGTTTATGCCGTCAATTAATCAACCAGAGGTTGTTGTTTTGCAATAACCCTGGAATACGACGTCTTACTGTAATGTAACGGCAAGACTAATTATAAGGAAACTGATGTATTTATTTATTATGGTAGCAGACCGATAAACACTTCAAAGAGGCTTTAAGAAAACCGAACAAGCGTCACCTGCAGGTTGTTGCTCTCTGCCAGGTGATTGGCTGAAGAGCTGTGAAAAGGTAGTGGGTGTGTGGGGTCAGCGCTCGGGTGGGAGTGGGCATACTGTCGGTAAGAGACTTTTGCCATCTTGTTTGGATCATTTGTTATTGTAGGCGCCCATTTTTAATGTGTCGCTGGACTTTTAGTGTGACCACGAGTTTTAATAGAAGAATTGATTAATCCCTCGATCGACAGGGAGACGGATCAATATTGTATATTGAGTGTTTTAGCTTTGTGATTTTGAATGGTTTCATAAAATTGATATTTTATTGGGCAATATTTTAATCGATAATGTTGTTTGTGTTTTCTGCTGTGCTTTTTTGTTTGTTCTTTTGATTGATCTGTAATTTTGTTTTGGTTGTCGTCCAGCCATGAAGACGGTTATTGATTGTGAGTTGTGTAAGGGCGGACTAACCTCCTTTGTTTTTAATTTGTTTGTGCCACTTCCCTTTATGTTCCAGATTACAGGTCATGCATAGCTGCTTCCCAGCTGTGCTGAGACCCGAAGTGTTTGCAGTGCGTGCTGCAGGTAAACCGATTGTGTCGCTAAACAGATGAGCTGTTAGGGATGTCATCAGAAGGAACGGCGTGAAGAGGCTAAAGAGAAACCTACAGGACAGGAGGCGTGGCATGGGGCGAGTACAAGTCCTGGTAAACTGTCTGTTGTGTGGTGTGCAGCCATGCAGCTTACAAGTTCCTGTCCTCTTTCTATTTATGTGCACAGTAAACGTGATCGGGCAGTTTTTGGTGTGTGGTCCCATTTCTCTTCACGTACATGCCTGTCGACTGCCTTTCATGCAAAACGTGAATCCTCTGCATGGCCACTTTTTTCTTTCCAGCTGGTTTATTTCATGATTTGTGAGCGCCTTCCTGTCAGAAGCAGAGCAGCTTCCTGGGACTTATTCAGTCCTTTATAGTCAGAAGCTCATCATGACAGCGTCGCACACAGTACATGCGTGTGAGACACTGTAGAAGCAAGCAGGGTCAGAGCGACTATAAGGACACATGTGTTTGTGTTAAAGGTCTCAGATCTCCACATGAAATGTTCCTTTTGATTGACATCAAGGCCACGCTGTGGCCCCTCGTGGTGAGAGGTGGCAGGTAATTGCAGACTGCTGACGTGCACACAAATTGCATCGAGGGGAGCCTTCGCTGTCGGCTCCGTCAGGAAGCATCAGAGCGTCGTGTTTGCAGCAGAAATTTGGAGGTCGAGCAGCTGTTTACATTTAGAAACAGCGCTGTTGAAGGTTATCAGCTCATTTATTTAGCTGTGAACCATATTTATTGAAAACCATTAAAAGGAGAACAAAGATGTGAGTTTGTGTCGTAGCCCTGTGTCGCTGCATCATGTTGTTTAGCATGTTTGTTGTCACTGGTGTGTGTGGTGCAACAGAAGAGTATCATCTGGGCTGAAGCCACCAAATCCCTACAACAAGTGTCTTTTTCTTAAATACTGCAGTGCGCCCTCTATTAACCCTCTCAGGCTCAAATTAAACTTTTTGTTGCTGATGCACAACCAAGTCCTGCAGTGGTGCTTCTGAGTAAAACTCATAAAATATGTATGTTGGTAATCAGGTTGTTTTTAACTGTTGCAAATCAGCAACGCTGCATCGAGAGGGTCAAACAGCTGAGCTAATGAATCTGTCTGGGCCCGAATCTGAACTCCACATGTAAATAATGTGTTTCTCATCTTTCCTTCACACATCGTACTCTAAGTACGAGTACCAGTATGAGGTGAGGGTTAAGCAAGCATTTATGCAACAGATCGAACTGATATACAAAGTGTGACCAGCGTGATCCAGCGTGAGACCTGCGAGTATCATAGCAGGAAGTCCTTAAAATGTCCTGCTGAAAGTGACCAGCACACGTTAGTCGTGCATGAGTCTGACGGGCTTAATGATTGGCTGTTATTACAGGCTGACGGGCTTAATGATTGGCTGTTATTACAGGCT